CTTCACTATCCCTCCCCCGTGACGTCATGTCCTTCGAGTCGCAATTTTCTATTTGTTTATCTATGTATTTATCTTCTTGTTTATCTATTTGTTTATCTACTTTTTTATTCACTTGTTTATATCCCCTTTACCGAATCCTACTATCTTATCTATCCTCTCCTTCCCCATGGCCCATGGTTCAAAGGATCGCCTCTGACTTTCCCCTCCCCTCTTCCCCGCACCCTCCGTTCCCCCACATATCCGCACTCTCCTTGGAGGACCTGGGTTAGAACCGGCCTAGTATACCTACTAAACTCTATTTCCTTTCTGAGAAATTGACACTTTGAGTAATTGAGTTGGAATTTATATTTCTTCAGCAACACGACCGTTTCTTTTAGTTTCTTTTAGTTAAGTTTTCTTCTACTGTATCGGACGGAATGAGAATATCGTCGTATGTACACTATTACTTTTTCTTCGCGGATAAGCAAGTCGAGAATTTGTAACAGTATTTTTTGAAATTCCGTCGGTGCCTCTGAATATCCGAACGTAAATATTTATATTCGATTTGCCCTTCAGGAGTCGCGAATCTGAAATATTTTGTGTCCTCATTGTGTACTTTTATATGATGGATTCCATCCTTGAGATCAAGGTAACGTGAACACGGTTTTTCCGTATAAACGCGAAAGATAATCCTCGATTATCGGGAACGGATATTTTTGCTTTATTATCCGACTATTAAGAGGTCTAAGGTCCACGCAAAGTCTAATATTTCCATTTTTCTTTTTAATAGATATGACACGTGCACAGTATGGCGAGATGCTTGGCTTATTTTATGCTTCAACAAATCATTGATAATCTCGCGAATCTGCAGACGCTCCACGTATGCGAAACGTCGAGGGGCGAATGCATAGACGGAGTGGTCTTTGAGGTGAACGCGTACGGCATACCTGTCATCTATTGGTATGATATTAGTATTTTTTATGGCCAACAAGGTTTCCATCAGATGCTTCTTTGTTCTAGCATCGAAATTTATAACCGAGTCTAATAGAATCTGTTTCAGCTCACTTGTCGACTCCTCCACATAAAGAGGGAGATTGGCAAAAAAGCGCATTTCCGTGACGGGATCAACAACCACCCTGTCGTGTAACTTATAAACCAGGGTGAGTTTCTCTCTCTCTCTACCCAAAATAAAATCTCTACTCAATATAACGTTACCCAAGAACGACTTTTCTTCTATAACGTACATGTTTATTTTAAATCGACGATCTTTCATAATTTCTATCATAAAATCGACTGGAACGATTCTTTTCAAGTTTAGCGGTGACTTATTTAAATTAACTAACGCTTGATCTACCGACAAGAAACATTTAACATACGGATCGATAAACGATTCATAAACGCAATTACTAACAAAAGAAACTGGACTTCCCATTGTTGTAGCCAGATTTACAACCAATAATAAAAGTAGTCCGCATGGCAACAAAATTAGGCCGCATGAATCTCGAAAAGTCTTTCGAAAGACGACACAAATGTGTGACCGCCGAAATTGCGACCAGTCTTTCGAAAGACCGCAGAAATGCATCACGCGAGAACATTGCGAAAAGCCTATCAGCAAATTCCTAAATTTGATAATCAATATCACGCAATCGATCGACGCAACCGATCAGAATACTGATCGGGCATCGATCAGACTATATAACCGGTTACACAAGGCGGAGTCGGGAGAGTCAAGAATAACGTGTCGTTCGGAATCATTATAAACATCGCGCAAGATATTACAAAAGCGCGACGAAGTTCACGCGAGCCGTACTATCAGCATCTCAGGTGATATACTCGGTCGTCGGCCGCCAGAGTAACGTGATACGCGCCGAGCCGCCCGCCGACGTTTAACCGTGTGTAAAGTAATAAAATAAGAAATACTAAACTCAAGAATTTGTGCATTTATTAAATAAACCAATTAAAATAAAGAAAGTGTGTTAGTGAATTCAAGAAGATTTTCTTACATTCTTTTGATCCTGCTCGGAGTCCCAACTCCTTAGGCTTAACGAACCCGACTATCTCTAATATTATCGTTGTAGCCCATCCGGGGTACAACACCATGTTCATCAGCGCAATTAATTTACATTGTTTATTACAGATGGAAGTTACTTGTGAGGGATGGAGAGCTCCAGCCGGTTGCTGACGTCGTCTGCTACCAGGGCCACAGCATCCCTCTTCGTGTCCTGGAATACTGCTGCCGTCTGTTGTTGCTGGCCAGCACCTAACGCCTCTCCTTTGCCGAGCAGCTGGACAGTCATACTGCTGGTGTCCCTTCTTCTTACAGAGAAAGCAGGTAACTTCTCCGTGACAGATTTTATGCGAGTGCTCAGCTTTACCGCAATTGTGACATGAGGTCTCTTTAGACCTTGGCACGCTCTCTGGCACAAATACACGTTTATCCAGGTCCGAAACCTCTTCCGTGATATTGCGCATTTTTTCTAGAAAAGTATCTAGCGAGATATCAGTTACGGACAGCGCGGTGACTCTCAGGGCTCCGTTGTTCATGCCATTGATCAAGAGGTGGATCACATTCTTGGTAGGTAAGTCCAATGGTTGTAACAATGCTAATTTTGTTATCACGTACTGATTAAATGATTCACGATGCGGTAACCACTTTCTTGCCTCGACCTTTTGCATGACTTTGTAGAACGGGAACTGTCTGCTGAATACCTTCTTGAGTTCCGGTTTCAAACCATACCATGACTCTATCGCTGCTCCGCTCTGAAAGTCGTATCACTGCTTCGCAAATTTAATCAATTTACTTGGCGGTAACAATGTCGCCCCGTCCGATGCTCCGTGCACCTGTAACACCTTATCCATTCTTTGAATCCACACGTTAACATTTTCGCTTTCAGAACCTCCAAACTCGGAGAATTTGCAAAGCCAATCATATGACCGAACTCCCCCTGGTGAAACCCTCTGCCAAGGGTATTTGCTGAAATACTTGAGCCGGTGAGAATGTCGCCTGTGAGCCACCTGGCTCAGATCTTCCTGTTCTCCGACTACACCAGGTATGGCTGACGCTGGCCTTTCTACTATTATTATTTTTATTAAATTGCTGCAATACCTGTGTAAAAAACTGTTGCTGACTCCTTTGTAACTCCTTTTATTGCAGGAGTAACGTCTCTGCTACTTGCGATAACGCATGATGGAGCACTGCCATCGTCACGGGCTGCTTCAGTGCCGTCACCACCGGCATTTTCCCGAGCGATCTCTGCAGGACCATTTAGCTACATGAACCAGAATCGCTTCTATGAGGACCACTCTGTCTTCCGACACAGGGAGGTGAAAGCGTCGAGCTTCCTTCTGCAGCTGTTCCAGCGACGCTCCCTCCAGGACTGCTCGGTCCATCGCCCTCATCTTCGGCATCATCTGTCACCTTTTCTCTCCCAACTCCACGCGACACAACGGGCGAATAAGTGGGTCTAATCTCACTTCTGATATTAAATGCTGTAGGATGTTATTTTTAAATATTCAAATTTTTAAATATATACGGTTCGAAATCAGGATTGCCAGTCTCGTTCGTATTCGCTCCCTATTATTTGACTCTAGCGAAAGAAGAACGTTCACCACGTGGCAGTATGAGGAAAGAGGAATTGATAGTGTTCTTCCGTCTTCAAAAATATGTACAACTTAACAGAAAACACTAACGAATACATTTTAACTGTCAATACAAACTTTTACAATTGTTCAAAGCGCGCGGTTTTACATTAACTTGACATTCGACTATATTTGTTATACTCTAAGTATTTCGACTTTGACTTTCGCGTAAGAAACGTCCGTCTCATACGCCGACCGAGGAGAGAGCACAGATCACCCGCTGCTCCGAATAATTGGAACATGTTCGATGATTTTAAATCAAATAAAGTTTGCGTCAGCCTTCGATCATATCGAAGTATCGTACGACAGCGCTGGGGTCGATCGCGTACCACACCTGGGCTGGAGAACAGTACTTTTGGCGCCATCCGTCGGCTGCCTTAGGAACTTCTTGCAATATATTATATTTAATATATATAATAAAATTATATTTTTTTAAATATTAGATATGCCAGCCATTATTTCAGTTGGAGCTTCAGAAAACATACTGCAACTGCGTTCCGCTTTATAATCTTGAAGCAGTTAGAAAGCGCACGAAACTAAAACGGAATGGATAGCCACAATACACTTCCATTACGTCATAGCATGAGCACTCGGAGTGAATAAAGGAACGCACTCAATGCCTTCGATACATTCGATCGCGAACGCGCACTTCTCGCGTCTATACGGATTTTTTATTAAGGAATATTATACATATTTATTATTATTATAAGCAAACTTTATTACAATATAAAATTAAATTTAAGTAAAAAAATGAACATCCATTCATTTTTTATATTGATTTATCACAATTAATTAATTTATGACTATATTTTGCAATTTTAGTCTCTGTTATTTAACATATTATCACGCTTTCCACGTATTTAATACACATGCACAATACACTTGAATCAATGCACATGTAAAGTAAAAAATATCGCTATTGGTTAGAGTGAGATGGTGTATATTTCTTTCTTTCTCGTAGGATTTAGTCAAAACATGGCGGATCAGAGTCGTAGCCAGTCTCTGATTGTAGTGTCTCTAAACAGAGTATATCCTTTTCTACATAGACAAAAAAATGACGTACAAAAACTTGGCGCGCCCGGATTGTATTAAAACTACTTTTAATAATAACACTGAATTATGTGGCAAACAAATAGAAAACAGTTTGAATTAAAATTTAATACATTAAAAATTTTTTATTTTTAAACTTATTTTTTTTAATATTAACTTTTTTAATATTATAAATAAAATTAATGAAATATATAATTAATTATTAATTAATAAAACATTTTTTACATGATGCAAGAAACTTAAGAATTTATTTTATTAGAATGTTATTCAGTAT